TTTAAAAAAAGGATGGTCTTTGAGTGGATTCTTGCAGCTGGGAGTTTAAGAGTCTTTTTAAAAAGTACAATTCCCAGGCTCTAGCTTTAAAAACTTTGAACAAAGCCTGCTGTTCAGAGCTTCAGGGCTTCCATAATTATTGCCCTTTCCCCGCAACTGTGAAAGCAAAATAAATTGCACAAACCAGCAGTAGGGGAAAAAAAACACACATCACATCATAAATTATGCGAAATAAGAGAAATGGCACAGATGTGCTCGATTTGCATGGCCAGGAGCTCAGCATTTCGGCAGCCGAAACAGAAAAGACCATTTGGCCCAGCATGTGCGTGGCCCAGCTTTACATGCCTGGAAGCCATCCAGAAATGGACTTCAGAGGTCCTAGAGAGCCCAGCAGGCTGAGGAGTGCTTCTGCAAGCACATTAAATTGATGCTCTTTGACTTGGTGATTTCCAAAATTGATTTTTCAACCTCCGGGTGGGTTTCTCGGCAGCTGTAGAGATTGACTTCTCCGCCCCATTTGCGCCTGGCCCATATTGCCTGGTGCAGCGTAACCACTTAAATGGGAAATGCCGGCGACGGAATGCTCCATCCGTGCTCACCCTTGACTGTTTCTATGTTTCAGGACTTGAGTGCATCCAAGGATGAGCCACTGGTTTAAAAGGGCTCCCCCAGTTTCCTTCCTGTTTGAATTGCGTATGGCGTATGGATGGATGGGAGGGGGGTGTCACTGCGGAGAGTCTGGCCAAGGTTAGACGCTGACCTTAGCCTTCTTGTAAAGGTAAATGTCATGGCAGCAGGCTTCTAATGACTTGGAGGATGGATTGACAAGAGAAGCCAACCGGGCTGTACCCCTGCTGTCAGTCCTCTCCAATTCTGTGCATACAAATCATGAGAGGACAAAAGAGGACAGAGCTGAGATGCTGGGGAGGGGAGCCGGGAAAGAAAAGATGAATGTGCAGTATTTACTAGCCATCATTGCAAGTAACAGTGGTTTATTGGCATCTGGCTGCAGAGCCAGAGGTTGGGAGTTTAATTCCCCACTGCGACTTCTGGACAGGAGCTGGACTCGATGCTTCGTAGCAGGGATTTTGGCAAGTCTTTGGTACCAAGTCCCAAGTCAGAGTCCTAGCCTTTGGTACCCAGTACCAAGTCTGAGTCTTTAGTTGTTGTTGTTTAGTCATTTAGTTGTGTCTGACCCTTTGTGACCCCATGCATCAGAGCACACCAGGCCGTCCTGTCTTCCACTGCCTCCCGGAGTTGGGTCAAATTCATGTTGGTCACTTCGAGGACACTGTCCAACCATCTTGTCCTCTGTCATCTCCTCCTCTTGCCTTCACATTTTCCCAACATTGGAACACGCTCCCCCCTAAGATTTGTCTGGCCCCCTCGATGGACATTTTCAAGAACCAACTCAAGACCTGGTTATATAGACAGGCCTTCCCTCCAGACTCTTTCTTTCTTTATCTATTCTGTTTTTGTGTTAATGTTGGGAACCATTATCTTATATTGATTGTTTTTACGTGTTTGTGAGCCACCCAGAGTAGACTAAGTCTAAATGGGCGGCATATAAGTTAAATAAATAAATGGATGTCATTTGATATGGTTGCATGTTGGTGTTTAACTTGGGGTCATAGTGATGTTGAATTCGATGGCTTGGTTCTATTGGGTGACAGAAATCTTGCATTGACTGAGGGACAGAATGAGTGTCCATGGACCAGGATGGATACTGAGGATCATCGATTTAAGAGCCTGTGTCTCGGTGGTATCAAAACAGAGGTTGCTGACGAGCTGGTAAAGCAGTGGAATATATAGACGTTGGAGATGCCAAGCTAGAAAATGATTTCCCTCATCTGGATTAGCAGGAAATTGACTATGTGGACCTTTGTTGGCAAGGTGAGGTCTCTGCTTTTTAAGATGCTGTCTAGGTTTGTCATCGCTTTCCTCCCAAGCAGCAGGTGTCTTTTAATTTCGTGGCTGCTGTCACCATCTGCAGTGATCACGGAGCCCAAGAAAGTAAAATCTTGTCACTGCCTCCAACCCTGAATGCTCACTGGAAGAACAGATCCTGAAGCTGAGGGTCCAATACTTTGGCCATCTCATGAGAAGACTCCCTGGAAAAGACCCTGATGTTAGGAAAGTGTGAGGGCAAGAGGAGAAGGGGAGACATCACTTCTGCTAGAATGGCGGTGCACATCTGAATTTTCATCTCTTTACCCTGGAATCTAAAAAGGATGATAAATGCCATTCTCCTTGCCTGAACTGCACTTTCAGAGGACGAGATGGTTGGAGAGTATCATCGAAGCGACCAACATGAATCTGACCAAACTCCGGGAGGCAGTGGAAGACAGGAGGGCCTGCCGTGCTCTGGTCCATGGGGTCACGAAGAGTCAGAAAACTGAGCACAGGGTTTGACCCAATGGCCTTAGAGACTCCTTCCAACTCAATTATTCTATACAGTAATCCAATTTGAAAACTCATTTATGCAGATTCCTGCTGTCACCCGCCATGCAAGAGGTGTTTGTTCCACAAATGACGAGCTAAGCAAAGTGAAAATGTTTCATTTCTTTTAGATCTGGACCTGAACGTCTCCTGAGGCTATTTCCTGAAATTGATGTCTTTTTAAAGTCTCAGTTTAGTTGAACTGAGAATATCTGAGCTTTTCAGCAAGATGATATTCTGTGTACAATGTGCAGACGCTAAGTTTTATAGTAACTGCTAAATGATTCCTTTTCATTCTCCATCTTTAAAGAACATCTTCAAAATGTCAATGATTTGGATCCTGAAAAGTAATGCAAACAGTCTTATTCATGCTGGTGCTTAAAAGTTAAAAGCTTTTCCTTGTCGGGATTCCCCCCTCCCACTTGGTTAGCCTACTACAAATTCCTATAAAGAAACCCGTCACTATTTTCTTTTCTTCTGTTCCTCTCATCTCCCCATAATTTTTTTTCTAGTCAAGCCTTAAGATCAGACGGGACTTTTAACAACTTCATATCAGGACTGGTATTGCCTTTCTGTAGAGGCCTTTTGTATGAACTCTTTCCTTCCCTCGCATACCACGTACTTAAATCCCTCATCCTGTCTTCCGTGTGCTCTTGTTACAGGCTCTCACAAACTGTCTTCAGTTGTACTTAACGGACAGCAACTTCTGATCAATTTAAATCAAAGTTGCCATTTAAGTGGTTCTGTGCATGAATCAAAGGGCAGTTTGTGACCTGGAACGGCCTGACTCAGTGGTTCTTAAAAAATGGTATTTGTACCGTCAATGGGATGCAGATGTTGTCTAGATAGGGTGCAGGCTTTTCATGACAATTACTAAGTACCGTATTCCGTTTTTCTCAGGAACCATGTTCTCCTGGAAGGGGACTAATGGAAATGTTATCCATTTTTTTACAACTAATGAAATTATTACTTTTCTCTCCTCATGTTGATTCTCAGCAAAACAAAGGGAAGCAAAGGGGAGCGTGCTGCTTATATATCTCTCCAGAGTGCTCAAAGCATTCTCTGAGCAATTTACGGTTTAATTATGCAGACTACATCTCCCCCAGCCCCAGAGAGTTGATACTCCATTTACCCACCTCAAAAGGATGGAAGGTTGAGTCAACCTTGAGCCGGATAAAAGAGCCCAAACTGAGCAGAGTCTTGACTGCAGTACTGCAGTTTAACCACTGTGCCACAGGGCTCTTAAATTGCCATCAGGCTCCTAAATCTTGCAAAAGTGGAGAACTGTGGCCCTGTATGAAATGGAACCAGACTATTTGAAAGAACATATCTTCCCCATCAGCCTGGCCAGGTGTCAGGATCAATGGGGGACCATCATTGTCTTATTCATATGAGGCCACTCAGGACATATTTGAAGGGGTGCCAGAAAAGACATTCTCTGTAATGTGCCCAGACTTTGAAGGCAGGCTAGTCTGATCCCCTCCCTCCTGTTCTTCCACCAGCAGTTCAAAAACATTGTTATCCAGCCTGCTATTTAAGCTGCACTGTGGTTGTAGTGACTTTCAACCAAGTGCTGTTATGTCTTTTTTATTGATGTTGTTGCTATGCTCCATAAAGTAGTCTCCGACCCTATGAATGAGCACTCTCCAAAACGGCCCCTCCTCAACTGCCCTGCTCAGCTCTTGGAAACTCAACCTTATGGCTTCCTTCAGTGAGCCCGTCCATCTCGTATTCGGTCTTCCTCTTTTCCTGCTGTCTTCCACCTTTTCCAGCATTATTGTCTTTTCCAGAAAATCCTGCCTTCTCATGATGTCTCCAAAACAGGACAGCATCAGGAGTTTCAAAATTTTTGCCTTCAGAGATAGTTCAGATTTGTTCTGATCTAGAATCCACTGGTTTGTCTTTCTGGCTATCCAGGGTATCCACAGAGCTACATTACCTGAACAGATACATCTACGCTATTTCCGCATGAGCCCAAATCCTGGAAAATAAGCCCAGACCAACACAGAGAGGCCTCACAGATAGTGGACCTTCTCCCCTTTCAGACTCTCTGTAGTCCATATGGAGAGTGATGAAACTGATGATGGAGCACACTCAGATATGTGACACCTGAATAGAAATCTCATCTATGCTTGCTTATCCTATTAACCCAGCAATGACATCTGAATGAATCTTAATGGCCACCAGTACGGTCTGTACTTGTTGTCTCCCCAGGGTTGCAAAAAGACTCTAAATGAGACTGTCAATCCCCCGTGGTCTATGGGCCACACACACACTTCCTGAAGGTTTCCAGTCCCGATCTCAACAGGGCTCATCATCTTTTACACACTCTCCCAGAAAAATTCTTACAAAAACGGCAGTTCGTTTTAACCACAAAAAAGCCCCCCCCCCGTGGCCAAAATGTTGGGGTATATGAAGGGCCCCAAGGTGTGGGTGAGTCTTCAGAATGTGGCTAAATTACCTCCCAAAACACCTGGAGGCCACAAGGAGACATTCTGAAGCAAAATATTTGCTTGCAATTTTGTAAAAACATTTCTGGGGTGGGGATCACTGAGGAACCATATTTGGGCCCTTGTCGACGCCATGCAGACCAAAAACTGCAAGTTGCCCTTCTGTCGTTTAAATGATACCATCGTTGGCCTTGGACCTTCAGCGCAGACATTACACTTCATATTCACCCCCCTCCCCTCTATGTCTGTGGATAAATTACCTATTTAGCAAGATTATATTACATGCCTTTGGAGAAGGAGGCTACAGTCTACAAAAGCTAATAGCAAATAGAACTCGTTAATCTTTAAGGTGTCACCAAGACTCTTTGTTACTTTTTTTAAAAGGGTAAAATGTGAATTTGAGGTCATGTTGTTTGAAGGAGTAATCTTATTTTTTTTTAAAAAAAAGTTCTTAAGTAATATGAATTAATTCAGAGCTTGAACAAGACTCACCACTCCTATGCCTTCAAAAGCAAATATAGCAGTGCCAAAGAAGAGAGGATATTTCTTCCAGTCAGCCACCAGGGGTAGTTTTCGAAGAGGGGACAAACCCTGCAAAGAAATGTCACAGTGAGGAAAACCATCGTGCTCACACCTCCTGGCAATTTTAAAAGAGGAGGACCCTCTTTCAGGAAAGAGGTGCAAAGTCTGATCATAGTTGCCTACGACAGGCAAGGGATAAGAAGCTGAGAATGGTCTTCCTTTGGACTACATGTTCCACAATTCTGCACACACAGCAGACATCTAACTAGGGGATACTGGGAATTGTTGTACAAGGATTGAACATTTCCAGGCTCTGCAATCTTCATCTAGAATGAGATGCAGCATGAAAAAAAAACCACAATTTTTTCAAAACTGGAGACTGATCTTGAATCAGTTCACCTGAGTTTCTCCTTATTTTCTTTCTTTTAATTCTTCTTCATGGGGGGGAGACCTTTTTTGGTGGTCTGTGCAGCCCCCAAAGGGCTCAGGGGCAGAAAATTAATTCCCAATCCAGACAATTTCTGCTTTTAAGTCACACAAGATTCTCTTTTGCAGCAATAGACCCGATGTGGTTTTTTTTCCCCCTCCCCACAAGAAAAAAAGCTAGGTATCTTTCATGATCCATTCCCAAAGTTATGGACTTGCACCAATGAATCACCATGACCTTTTAGACAAGAAATGAGTTAATTTGGACAAATTGACTAAAGGCCATTGTTATCCACCGATGCTCATTTTGGCTACGCACCAGATGCATCATCAAGCAGAGTTGTCGTCTTTCCCTGATTATTGCCACTCAGCTCCACTTCAGATGTTTGCTGCAGCCTACACAAACTCAACAGGTGGCCTTCGGAAATTGACTAGATGCTAAGGAAGGGGCTTTTAACCAGGACAGAGCTGCACTGTTTTTTTTACTCATATTCTTTTAATCACTATTTTTAATTCAGGCATGTTTACACTCATAATATAACTGTGTTAACTTGCTGGTGAGCTTGGTGATTTAGGGATGTGGCTGTGGAGGCAGAGGTTGGGAATTCCATTCCAAACTGTGACTCCTGCAAAGTAAAGCCAGCATGTGGAGCCTTGGGCAAGCTGCCCAGGCCCAGGGCGCCCCTAGAGGAAGGGAAGGGTAAACCACCTCTGAGTATTTTCCACCTGAAAAACCCTGAAAAGAATTGGTCCATAAGTCAGAATTGAATGTATTAAATAGGATAGCTTGCTGCTTATTTGTTTCTTAATCTTACTTTGAACTGAACCAGTTTGGGAGAAACATGGGATAAAAACTAAATAAAAGTGTGGAAACAACCCCAAGCAAGTGGTTCAAAAGTTCATTAATCACAGAATGCAAATGCATAGACTGAGGGCTATGCAGGTCACCCCACTACATACATATATATATCCCACTAAGGTTGGGGCAGGCAGATGAGGGTCTTCTTGATGCTGTTGTACTACAATTTCCAACAATTCCTGACAGCATAGTCTATGGTGAGGAACGCTGGAAGCTGCCATCCAAGATCAAGAGGGCTGAACTTTGTCCAGCAGGGCTAAAACCATAAACACAACCCCAAAACAGGTCACATGGTGAGAGATAGTTAAAAAACACACACACAAGCAAAGAAGCCATTCTTTACTCACCTGAACAATATATTGATAAATTAACACTAGGCTGACAGCCATGGACAAGTTTGCAAGGAATGAGAATACTGACAGACTCTTCAGGTCACGAATGAAAACCAAAAGGATGATGAATGGAAGAAAGAACAGCATATACACTCGCAGGTCCATGGCGGTTTTGTGCGGGCAGCCTGGAGTTCCTGTGATATTTAGACCGCCATAGGAATTTTCTATATACCCTTCATGAATCTGCAAGAAAAACATGGGCTTTTTAAAATGAAATGGGTTCCTTATGAACTATTGAAAGATCCGAAAGCAGAGCACGTTTCACAGCGAGGTACGATTTCAGGGAACCTTTGTATTTCCACATACATTCAGCTCCAGGATAGAGACAGAGCCTTGGAATCTGAGCAATTTATTTCTCTGAAGAGGAAATTCATAAATAACCTAAGGATAGATATGATAATGCACAGATGTTGCACTACAAACAGTCTACCATTGATTATCAACACATTAACTCAAACATGGCAGTCATTTGCTCCTCATCGATATCGCTTCTTCTTTTCTTCCTCTTACCAATGCATCATGGGTGAAAAAAAGCATTAAACCCCACTTTCTTACATTCTAGACACATGGCTCTTCCCTCCTCCTTGCTGTAGTTCAAACTAGAGATGGGGACGAACTGCTGGTTCAGTTCGTGGCAGTTCGTTTAGTGGCCAAACAGGTGTTGGGCATTTCAAAGCCCCTCCTCTTCAAGCAGTTGGCCAATCAGAGGCAGCCTCCAGAGGAGGCAGGGCAGGGAAGCCAGGTTTATCTAGGCGGATTTTGGATTAAAAAAAAACTAAAATATGCAAATTCTGGAGTACATTCTGACTCCACAGGAATTCCATGTACTAAGACTCAGCACTAGGATTGGAGTTAACAAAAGGATTGAATGTATGCATCTTGTATTTCTTGAATCCACTCAGAATTCCAATGTTGTATCGGTTCCCATCCCACTCCCAGAATGGGACCATCCCATTGACAACCCCTCATGCTTTTTAGTGCCACAAGTTACCAACAAATAACACACGGCATTTTATTTCTGTCCAATATATTCATTAACTGGAACAATTTATTTAAAAAGCCTAATGGGAAATACAATAAATTTGTTGGGACAATTTCCATCCCAGTCCAGCAAAAAAGAACCTGAACAAACAAGCAAAAGGTTTAACCCAGAGACATCGTTTATATTTCTTTAGAGAACAACAACCAGAATCCTATTGGTGATTTGTGCATGCATAAGAACAAAATTCTATTCTGTTCTACCATTCTATTACCATGGCAAATTCTTGCTAACAAGGTACTGGTTATATTACAATGGACACACCTGTTGGGTAAACATAACATGAACAACAATTCCCCACAGTAATTAATCCAATTTCACTTACAGTTTGTTACTCACTAAAAGGATTCTGGCCATTGTTTACCCTTGTGAGCTTAGTTATGTGTGCATCTGCAACGCAATGGCTGAAATCCAGCAGTAAGTCACTACTAGAATAGGCCCACTGAGTCAGAAGGAATTTGGTGAGTCAATACCTATGTATGTTCCATTGAATCAATGGGTCTACTCTAATTGCTGCTTAAAGATTTTAGACACTGGGACTCTGGAGGACTAAAATGTCCCATCCAAAAAGATAGAAATTAATATTCAAAAATAAATATAGGGCTCTTTGGAAGCTGTACCACACACAGCTACCACTAAGAGTAGGAATGGGTAGGTAAAGATGTTATTTTAACATATTGCAATTATTTCTATAATACTGAAGAAGAAAAACAGCCACCCATAAATAAAGTATTTCTGCCATACATCAAAAGGGTCACGGACGGCATGGGGAAACTTTTGAAAAAACACAACCTACAAACAGTATTCAAGTCCACCACAAAAATACAACAAATGTTACAGTCAGCAAAGGACAGAAGGGATCCCCTCACCACTGCAAGAGTATACCGGATACCTTGCAGTTGTGGTCAGGTATACATTGGAACCACAAAATGAAGCATCCACACCAGAATCAAAGAACATGAGAGACACTGCAGACTAAAACAACCAGAGAAATCTGCAGTAGCTGAACATGCCCTAAAACAAGCTGGGCATGAAATTCTATTTAAAAATACTGAAATACTGGACAACACCAGCAATCATTATGTCAGATTGCACAGGGAAGCCATTGAAATCCACAAGCACCAGCAAAACTTCAACAGAAAAGAGGAAAGTTTGAAACTCAACAAAACCTGGCTTCCAGCTCTGAAAAATACAGCGTGCAAAAGGTCAACAAACTCTACCCAGCCACAAGGACCAGGGATCACTACTCACAAAAGACCAGCTAATGAGACCCATCAATCACATGACAGATAATCTCTTCTTATCACAACAATACACCCACAAGAAGACACACTAATCACCCATCTCCTGAATAGGACAAAAGCCTATCTCACAGCCATAAATACTCCACTCCCAAGCAAACTACACCAGAGCACAGAGTGCTGTCCTCTGAAGATGCTGGCCACAGAGACTGGCGAAACATTAGGAAGAACAACCTTCGGAACATGGCCAAAGAGCCCAAAATACCCACAATTATTTCTATAACCACCATCACCCACATTTATCAAGTATATTACTACGGCAGGGTTTTTTTCTCTGAAATTAAGTCATAAATTAATGTAGAGAAAAGACTTGAATATCATGAACACTATGTACCTCTTAATATTCCATCATCTTGAAACATTTTCATCATTCTAGGGGGTACTATCTCTCAACTTTCAGATATTTTTAAGAGCATCATCTAGTATCAACAGAATTATAAAGCTAGAAAAACACACAGAGATGTCAGTTTTCATCCACCCAAAACATCCTCCTGCAGCCCCATCTTATACATATTTACTCAGAAGTTCTCTATTGCATTTAGTGACAACCAACTCAGATGTACATGTATGATCTCCGACCTTAGCCATACATTCATAATCCAATCAGCCAATCCAGAACTGCAGCTTTACCAGTGTACTACTAGAGTTCCATCTATCTTTTAAGAGAAGAAAACAATTCAGACTGATAACAGGATTCATCATTATTCCAAATGTCACTGATTCCTAGAAATATCTGGATGCTTTTCATTTCTATTTCTGTTCTCTTCCTTACACTTCTTCCCCCATTCATTTCACCTGGAATGAATGATCAGCTATTAACTATTTTCTCTGTCATTAAGTAATAACCAGATAATGATCAAAAATACTGGAGCAATGCTTTTGAGAATGCTCCAAAAGTGTACTGTATTTTTCATAGTTGTAATATTGAAGCTATTATATTCATAAACGTATTTTTGTCTGTTTCAATGGAAGCATATACACTTACGTGTCACATTTAACCATGCTTTTATGCTATTAGCCTTCATGCAGCGCCACCTTAACAGGCAACACAAAAGCATGGTAGAGTAAAAGCTACAATTCAAAATCATTTTGATTTACTCCCTTCCAGTTCTATTCAGAAAATGACACTATAATAACGGCTAATTTAATAAGGCCAAGAGGCTTCCATAAGAGCAACGGGAATTAAAATCATATGAAGCTGTGTTGCTACAATCTTTACAATGTAAAGCTTCGAAGAGCACTTCATACTGAAAAGATCTACCTTATGGTGTAATCTGAGCTTCAAAAGCAGTTTCAGATTTTATCAGTCAACTGGAAATAAAAATATTTCACATTTTTTAAAAATTACAAATGTTTCCAATTTTAGTATGCATTGGTCCAAGCATTTCCTGTAACTAATCTATCAATTAACTGACATACACCAGGAAGAGCTCATTTTCATCCCCCCCAATCAAGTTTTGCTGCTGAATCAACACAGACCTAGACCCAACGATGTAGACATACTACTATATTGTCCCCTGCAGAATTGTAAACAATGTCCCCAAATTCCATCCATATTCCATGTGCTGTTGTAATGTTTCTACAAATCAAAAAGGAGCTGGGAAAAATAATGTCCCTACAAATTTGCAGTGTTAGGATACTTTCTTATGCCAGCTGACATAATGGCCAAAATCCTGTTGCACAGATATGCAGAAGGCGTAACTTTTAAAAGCACACTGGTATAAGTTAAGAAATCTCTGTAGACACAATCTGATGTGATCTGATGTACAACTGTCATGTGCGACCGATAAAGTCTAAGGAGATTTCTTAACTTACAGAAACTTGCCTGTAAAAGTTATACCTTTTGTGTAACTGAACAACAGGATTTCAGCCAACTTGTCGGGACAAAATGTGCCTTGCGCTTTTTTCAGAAACCCATAATTGGTGAGAAGCCGAAATAAATACTCTGGTTGTCAGCATATTGAAACCATTTTAGGGAAGGGGAAAGCAATAAAATATTGGTAGGTTCGTTAAATATAAGGTGCATAATTTAACCCCAATCCCTAAATTACCGGTAGGCAAAATCCAGCTGCATGAGGCCTTCCAAGATCACCCCATGCCATCAGTGCAAATATGGGGAGAGACACACTGAATTTTCCTACTCCAGGAACGCTCTAGGAACAATTGTTTTTACTTTAAGGAAGTTGGTGGGAGTCTTAGAACTCCCCCAAAAAACCAATACAGGAGGTGTCCTCCAGATAGCCTCTGCTCTCCTCCTTTCTTCTGGACCCTTTCCAGCCTCGTACAGCAGCATGGTGATGAACTTCTGGCTCTCCAATTTTTTTGGACTACAACTCCCATAGCCCTTTATCACTGGCAATACAGGCTGGGGATTCTGGGCATTGTAGTCCAAACATCTGGAATGCCAAAGGTTCACCATCCATGCTCTAGAGTGCGTGGGGAGGGGTAAAAAGAGGGAGGCCGGGCTGAACCACCAGTTCCGTTGGCTCAACAGGTGTTCGACGGTTCCAATGACCACCCTCTCCGGAGGGCGCCCACTTGGAGGCAGCACCTGGAGGAGGCAGGGCAGGGAAGCTGGGGTGCTCCCTCTGAGTGGGCGCCCACGAGAGGGGGTGAGGCGCCAAACTGCAGAACACTTGTTGGGCTATTGACCAAAACGGCAGTTTGTGCTCATCTGTGCTCAGAACACTGGAATTCCACCGGTTCTGAACTCACTGGGTTAGAAATTGCACCACAACTTATAGGTGAAAACAAAATAAATATAAAAACCAAAAAAAGAGACAAAAACATAGTGGCATCTTAAAAACTAACTTTTGCATGTGATTTTTTTAAATAGATGCTTT